CATAATGAATGGTCTTAAATACAATACAGGATCGGTTATGAGAAACCCAGGTATTACTTCTTATTTACCTCACATTCCAACAGCGCATCAAGTTTATCTCTGGGGTTAGGGATGGGAGAAGTCTCCCTTTCCGGTAAGTCAGCAGCTTCACAATGTAAAACTTCTTGTGCAGAATTACTGCCTCCAGCAACATCAGCATCTTTCCTATGAGAAATTAAATCAAGACAAAAAAGTGAAAACATGCATTTCTCCATAATAGTTGTGGACTGGTGATTAATTTGTAAACAAAACATGGTTTCTTCAATGCAACTTCTGACCAAGAACATTAGTAATTCAAAACATGTTGTGGCTACATTTTTCCCTTTAGTGAAAAAGAGAGAAACAACTTTATGATGAGAGTGAAGCAGAGAAAAAGAAATGCTTGAGGCTGATTTACAAGGATATCAAAGCAAGGYTCACTAATGCTTTTCTCCACTTGCAGGTTTAAGGTGCGAGAGAACAACCAGCAGACTTGCACAAAGGAGGTCGTTTGGTTTCATTTACAACTCAGATATTTAGCTACAAGAATAAAGACTTCAAGTATTTTTCAGAGATATTTTTTGTTTTAGTGAAAAAGTTGACAGTAACTTCAAATGGAAAAGATTTTAAAACCTGGTCAAAAAGAAGGACTAATGATGGTTCAGAGCAGATTCAACCAACACGATGAGTCTCTTAAAACGTGGCATCAGGTAGCTCAGCATGCCAAAACTGTGGGTACACTAATGAGCTTCACTAATCAACAATGTGTGTGCCCTATTCAGATTCAACACATGCCCTACAAAGCTACTCCATCCATCTATCCATTTTCTGTACACGCTTCTTCCTTTTTCAGGGTTGCGTGGGTCACTGGTGCCCATATCCAGCAGTCACAGTGCGAGGGGCGGGGTACACCCTGGACAGGTCGCAAGTCCATCACAGGGCCTACAAAGCTACTCATTTGCTTTTTTTAATCTCTTAACCATAACTGAAAAATGATACAAAACTAGTGAATGCTAGTTCTCTTGAGCCAACCTTTGAAGTTCATGTCTCACTGAAGAGAAACAGTAAAATTTTTCTGTAAAAACGCAAGAGTGAAGAGAGAAATCACAACCCGCTGTTCTATTTTCCACAATGAGCTTTAGCATTGGTAAGATCAAGCCTATCAGCACTAGGGGTGTCCCGATCCGATATTGATCGGTCCGATATCAGCCAAAAAACGAGTATCGGATTTTATCGGCCTGCATAAAAAATATCCGATATAAGCGCTCCGATATTAGCAGTCCGTTCCAGCAGTTCACTGCCTCCGCTCCAGTGTTTTTATACAGCAGCACTTGGATCCAGCATGCAGAGCTCACGTGATCATAACAACATCCTGYGCTAACAAGTTAGCAAGAATGTCGGCAGAACTTTCTATTTTCATCAGAAACAGAGTTGAAGCGAAGTGCAAAGTTGTCACGCACAAGTTTTCAGTGTGGGCACAGAACCGTGAATGTTTTAAACCGGAGCGACAACAACTCTCCACCCTGGCAGCAGCTTTGCGGTTCGGCTTCGGTCCAGTGACCGCACACAGCTGCGCTGTTTTGGAACCTCCTCTCTGGTCCGGTCGGTGGTTCTAAGCTGGCAGAAGCGAGGACAGCACGCTTACAGTTTTGACATCCCATGGATTAGCTCTGGGATTGATTGACAGAAGAAAGGAGAGCGCAGCTTTTGTTTTGGATATGAGCGCGACGTGACGAGAGCAGTGATAAAAACTGCTCCCTGCAGGAGAGAGAGGCTGATCTCCACATGATGCTCAGAAAATGCAGCAGTAAGAAAGGTAGCTATCAATTTAAATAAATKACTAATTCTTACTATTTATTTTTTGCTCTTGTTATTAGAGTGATGTTTAATCTGTTTACACACTTGTTTGAGTGAAGATTAAGTGCAATGATCATGTTGTAGCTGTGGACTCTTAGCTCTGAACAGACAATAATGTGGGGTTTTGTTTTGTCCCCACCTTCAGTTTTTTCMACCATAAAGAATTGTTATTTTATACTTTAAAATAACATTTTGTTTTTATTATGTTTTATTTTTCAGGGTCTTATAATTTATTTTATTAAATTGTATAATGTTCTTCAGTATGTATGTGATCCATTGGTTAAAAATAAATGGGTCAGTTTTTCCATACCTACTCTTTTTCACTGTTTGACCTGATCAAGACTTTTCTAAGATTTTACACTATAAAATAGGTAAAAGTGTGTGATTCGTACTGTTATGGTAACGGGTCAATATCGGTATCGGACAATTCTCAAAGTTGTAATATCGGTATCGTATCGGAAGTGAAAAAGTGGTATCGGAACATCCCTAATCAGCACATTTACACAAAGGGCCAATTATTATAACCCCTGAACTGCTATGAAAAAAGTGCAAAAAAGAAAATCAGATCCAGGAAGTGAATGATTAGTCTGGTCTTAAATAGAACTATTTATTATACTTTGCTAGGCTCCTGTGTCAGAGATAAAACATAAAGGTAAATATAAAAACAATCCCTTTAATGTCTCCTAATTGTTTGTTGAAACTCCTGCATTGAAAATACTATGTTTATTCCATCTTTACAACAGTTTTCTGTATGTACTTAAAACAGCAAGGCACTGAAGGGGAGGGAGGGTGGACGGACGGACGGATGAACGAATGAATGACAAATACAGATTGTCACAGTATCCACCACCAGAAAATGTAAATGTTTTTATTACCTTTGATCCACAGGGCTCCAGTAGACTGGGGCACCTCTTCCCGAGTGGGCATCAGTTGGACAAAGGGGCGATCTCAACTCACTGTCAGTTTTCAGGGACCGAAATCGTGCGGCACCTCTTCTTGGACTGTATTTGAACCCTTCTTGGTCAGCCATACCTGTCAAGCAACATGTAGAAAACTGACCTGTTAAGGTTTAATCCTCCGGTTACTCCGAGGTTAAAATGACC